ATATTTTCATGTTAAAATCCAACTCAAAAGGTTACTGAGTAAATAAAGATTTATCATTTCAAAATCGATTTGACCATATTTTTTTAAACTATGTCATTTGACAATTTGAAGCAGCATTTAACACCTTGACCCACACTCTGCATTTGCTAAGTAAATGAAGTGCTCTCTCGTACTACCTGATTCACAACCCTTTGGAAAAATTAGGAACATCATGCTACAAAAAAATCCTCTTAAACCCAATCCTAAACCGTATTCAACATTTTTCATCGTCGACATTAAAACAATATAGAAGCATATATTGTCGCATCATCGTTTGTTAGTTGAACTTTGTTATTTCACCTATTGAATTTATGTAAAATTATAAATTGTCTTGCATATTTTCATAATATTTAAATATTAAATTAAATAAAAAGTTATTTCAAAATTTTTTAAAAGATAAAATGTATTTAATATGATGGTGTATATTTAATATTTAATATTTAATATAATTTTTTATTTTTTTTGAAAAATTTGACCCTTTTTTTTTAAAAAAAAAAATCTACTTGACCGATTAATCTAGTTAACCGCTCCCGTTCGAACCGCTCCCAGCCTCATGTCTAGTTAATTGTTTCGATTCGATTTTACACTTGTGCCGCACCCTTTTTTTCATTGTTTTTGCCTTGATCCAGCAAAAATGTGTCGGACCGATAAAATCCAAACATCAAAAAGCCATAAATCGTAAGGGCCTAGTTCCTTGATAAAATCCATACAGCTAAAGGCCATAGTAAAACGACCCAAACATACAAGAAATCTTAGGCCATAGTAAAACGACCCAAACATTCAAGAAATCTTAGGCCTAGTTCCTTGATAAAATCAAAATAGCAAAAAGGCTATAGTAAAACTGTCAAGAGAGAGAGACTGTGATTCAAGTAAGAGAGAGAAAGGGTATCATATCTTCTTCTTAACCGTTAAATGCAGAAACCTTTAGAATTGATCACAAATTGCTGACTAAAAAAAATGAAATTACATCATTAGAACTGATCACAAATTGCTGACTAAAAAACGAAATTACATCACTAGAGATAACGAAAGACGGTAAAAAAACACCACCTTTAGTAAAAAAAATCTGTCAAAAAGTAGTGTAAGAAACTGACAAAACTTCTACCAAATCCATAACCTGCAACAAAAACAAAAAGGATCGAAACTCTTAAAAGAGATTATGTTCTTTGGTACACAATCTAATAACATTTAAAGAATCATCTTCAATCCAACAATTTCTAACAATTTCTACCAAGATTCTTACCAACCAAGATTTTCACCCCACTCAGTAAAACACTTAATTCAACAAAATTGACAATCCAACAATTTTTAACAATTTCTACCAAGATTCTTACCAACCAAGATTTTCACCCCACTCAATAAAACACTTAATTCAACAAAATTGACAATTTTAATTCCAATCGGACCAACATAAGAGAATAAGATATTACCCAAAAAATCACACAAAAGAATTGATCACAAATTCCTTGCCACTTTCATCCGCGCTCACCTCTGAATCAATTATTCTACTAAAATCTATTGTCAAAAAGAAAAAAATTATATAAGATTGCAACCTTAAAACATAAAACTACGGATAAATCTCAAAAGTCTATCGAAAAAAGTTATTTTAATCTTAAATCTATCAAAAAAAATTATTTTAATTTTTAAAAACCCTGATTGATCATCTCGACATTGAGATGTATGACTAAGAAAAATAAAAAAAATTTGAATCTAAAATATAATACATCTTACAACATATTATCTAATCACCATTCACTTTCAAGATTTACATATCTACTTGATTTTAACCATTTTTAGAATTTAATTTTTTTTAATTAGATATAAAAATATATTTTAAAATAATTCTAAAAACATTTTACATCAAAATTATATATTATGATAAAATTTGAAAGTCCACCTTAATTGAATTGTTTAAGTTTACAACTTTATGAAAACCACACCCTTGACAAAAAAAAAAAACCCACACAACAAAACTAAAATGATTAAAAAAAAATAAAAAATACACCTTTAAAATCCATCGAAAAAGGTTGTTTTTGTTCAGGTTGAAAACCCCTCTAATTCATCATCTCTAATTGATCACTCTCGATATCAAAATGTATGATATCTAGATGTATGAATATAAAAAAAACAAATGATTTCGAACCCCCAAAAACAGTGCATCTTACAAAACATTATCTAAACAATCTTTTTTCAAAAGATTTTCATATATTTATAGATCTACTTGATTTAACTACGGGAACCTTATTGGAGCCACACCTTTTAATAAAAAAATAAAAATAAAAAATAAAATAATAGGACATTATATTTGCCGATTGTTTGGTGCGGATGAATTTTCAGCTGCGTCGCCTTGTGAAGGATTCATTATGAAACCCATACATGTTAATAAATATCATGCCATTACCAATAGGAACGATGGCCTACATGATGCAATGGTGACCACGCACATACCTCCGTATCATGCTGGCCATGACGTCCATAACTCTAGCATGCACCCATACTTGCATCTACAAACCAGATCATTGAAAACCGGATACAATAAACAAAAACGAGTACACAATCTCTCTCCTCAAAATCCCAACAAAAAGAAGGAAAAAAAAAAAAGGGAAAAGCAAACCGCCTCTAAACACAAGGGCCACGGGATCACGAAAAAAACGCAGCTCTCGAACCCGTCTTTTCTTCTCTCTCTAACTCCCATCTCTTTCTCTCTCTACACCCACCATGCCACCACAAGCTCTCTCTCATCTTGTACTCCATTTTCTCTCTCTCACTCTATGCCCCAGGAGCAGCATCCTTGACTTTACCCTGCAAATACCCACGGTAGTCCCGAGCATAGTCCTTCATCTGACTCGCCGTGTCTGTGAGTCTCATCCTCGCGTAATCGACTCGGTCCGACCCAACTGGGTGCCTTCCCTTAATATAACGGTACATCCAGGTCAGCCCCCCCAAAACCGCCAGACCAAAACCGGTTACGGCCACAAAACCGCTTGCCGCCACCCCCAAGAAGGCCAAAACCGGAATCCAAACCGGGCTCGAGAGCAGCACAAGAGGGGTAATCACAATCAGGCCAACGGTGGTGGCGGCGAGGGTGAGGCCGGTGAGGAGGAGGAGGATGGCGCCCGAGATAACCAGGGTCAGGAGGCCAATGACCTGGGTTGAGTTAGGGGCGTGCTCTTGGAGCCTTTGGATGAAGCCGCGCTCTCGGGTGGTGGCGCCTCCGCCTATGGGCGGTGTGGGGCCGGGTCGGCTAGCGGCTCTGGCTTGGCGTTGATCCGCCATGAGGTAGGAGGGGAAGGGTTGAGGGAGGAGGAGGGGGAGGGGGGGAACGGGGTTTATAATTTTGAGGTTTGACACGTGACAAGTGATGGGGAGAATCAGTCATGCAGGTAGACAGGTGGAGTGCATTGGGTTGTGGGGACAGGTCTTCCTTGAGAGGTGTACTCGTAGAGACGCCATTGGAGTCTTAAATAATGAATGAGAAACTTTGGGAGAGCGATGGCTTAGGCTTGGGCTTAGGCGCAGGCTCAGGCTCAGGCTCAGGCTCAGTCTCCGGCTCGATTCATGCGTAACAAACAGTTGCCATGGACCCGGACCCTGTCCGGGACCCAAGGGTACATCCCATGTGGGCTCAAAAATTGGACCCAGCGCCCCTGTGGCTAATCTCCACTACCATTTTGCTAAGTACATATACTTCCTCCCGGTTGTCGAGATGGTATTTTATTTTTCATTCGTGAAGTTGGAATCTTAAACAACTTAAGATTCGCTCTAAATTTTGTCATAACATGTAATTTCGATGTATAAAGTGTTTAGGGTAACTCTAGAATCTATTTTATCTCTAATCAAAATTTTAAATCTCAAGAATAGTTCAAATCAAATAGATCTATAAACACATGAAAATCTTGAAAACGGACGATTTAAATAATGTATTACAAGATGTATTATTTTTAAAACTTGAAATTTAAATCTCAAAAAAATCAAATGAGATAGTTTTCTAACGTAAAAAAAACCTTTTTTAATAGATAACTGAGGTGCACTTTAATTCTACAATATAAGGTGTCAACCTTATGTAAAATCTTTCCTTTTAACTTATTATTTGAACTACAATAAGTCTCCGAAAGTAGGATTTAACATTGCAAAGGAAATGTACACAAAAATACACCATAATGGAATGAAATGTTATGGACAATGAAAACAAATGCGATCCTAACGAACAGAGAAAGAATCAGCATATTTGTCACGGAACAACTTTGAGAAACGAAAAAATGTTTGTTGTGATGATCTTGAGAAGGGAAAACTAGAGGACGACTTGAGAGTAGGCGATTTTAATGTACATACTTGGTAAAATTACCGAATTTACCATTTGATTGATAAGTTTAAAATTTTTACCATGAGGTCTTACTCTCTTGATTTTAAGTTCTTTTTTTTCAATTTTGCTTCTTTCAAATATTGAATTTTTTGTTTTTTTATTTTTCTGACATTTATTGGGCGGTCCGATTTCAATATCAAACTGCTCTATATTTTTGGCACATCTTTCTTTATATAAGGCAGCCAGTTCTTACAAACATTGAATCGTCATTTTTCAATATTCTTGTATCGAGCAATCCGAGCTTTTAAATATCGTACTACAAATACTTAGGGTAAAAAAAGTTCAAAAGTGATGTGATGTTTGAAAACTTTGGCTCCAAAATTTGAACAAACTATGAAAAAAAAGTCGGTTCGATATATGCAACATTAGACCACCCCATGGACAATACTGGATAAAAAATGTACGGCGGTTAGATGTTACAATTATTGGACTACCTTGCAAATGGGGTAGTTCGATATATTGAATATCAGACTGCCCACAAATATCAATTTCTTTTTTTTTTAAATTAGTAGTCTGATGAAACATCGAACCGGCGGTAAATTTGAAAAAAAAAATAGAAATGAGGAGAGTAGGACATTGTGATAAAATTAAAAAACTTATAGTCCAAAGGGTAAAATCAATAATTTTACCCAATGGGTATGTTAAGATCCCTAAAATTACTAAAGAAGTCGTATTTGAATGATAACTAAAGGTAAGTACTCTTAATTATTGTGGCTTCCTAACTCTGAATATAGACAATTTTAAAAATTTTAATATTTTAAAATATAAAAAAAATTAGAGCATATTTCTTAAAGCCAGTTTGGATGTAAACAAAATTGAAATATTTTTTGGATTGCAATCCGAAAATCTTGTGAAACGGATTTTGAACCGTTTGAACAACAACAAGTTTTGCTAGAATTTCAGATTAACAGAAAAAATAACTTCATGTCAAGGTAAAAATTATTGTTCAAAATAATTTAAGTTAGACTTCGATTTTTACAGATGAAAGTGCAACCTTCTCTCTTTTGTCCTCTCTATCTTATACCATGGAAGGAACTTTGTGCTTCTCTAGTGAAGCAAGTTTGGTCCATCTCTCTCTCCTCCCCTATCTTCTTTGGTTGTTCCACAATAAACTGAATGGGAGATGATCTATACATTGTAATTTCTCATTGGACTCATATTCTTTTATGGCGAGACTTGTCAGATCCCAGTCATCCCTAAGCTATCAAATATCATTTTGGAAGGTATAAATTATTGGAAGGTTATAAATAAGGAAAAGTATAAATTTAATTTTAGTACATGATGGTCATAATTAATCTTGATCATCAGATGTGAAAGTAGATGGCTGCATTTATTTCATTGACCAAGCTCAAATTTCAAAAGAAATTTTCGAGTAACACACCTTAGGCATCATATTTCACATCAAATAGTTATAAATAATTATGACTTTTTTGTATTAAAGGTAAATTGTCTCATTGTATATAATCTCTATAAATAACATCAAATAATTATAAGTAACTGTGACTTCTTTGTACCAAAAGTCAATTGTCTCATTGCATATAATCCCTCTAAATAACTGACCTCCTTATAATATGACTAGTTTTATTATATACAATCCCATTTATTTTAATAATTTCATTATTTACAATCCCATTTATTTTAATAAAAAGTTCCCTAAAATTAACATTTTAGCTTGAAGTTTTGCCAATAGCGGGCATTTCCATTGCAAAGGGAGACGCCGTTCTCGAAAATGCGAACGGAATGAGGAGTGCTCTCAGAACAGTCTTCAAAACGGGCTGTATTCACCCACTTTTGGCTCAATCTCTTTCTTTTTGACAATAAACTTTTGACTCAATCTCGTGTGAAAAAATGGCGTCCACTTTCATTCCCTTCTTCCCCGTTGCAACATTTCATGGCCATGGCCACAGAAACCGGAGCTTACACAACCAGGGAAAGTTTCGGAGAAAATCAAATTCTATAATTTCGGCTGAAATTTCTGAGAACCCAACGAAATTAGTTACATTTCTCGGTAAAGGAGGCTCAGGAAAAACTACATGTGCCACCATTGCTGCTCAGGTATGCAACCCTCAATTCTTTCCCTTGATATTTCAGATTTCCTTAGGGTTTCGGGTTTTTGTTTTTTTGAAACCGAAATTTCGCCAGGACGCCGAAATTCCTTTAATATCCACAGTCTGAAAACATTTGAAAGCTCTAAGACGAAAATTACTTTAATGCAGCTACATTCATCGAACTTTCGCATTTTTTTGGGAGATGACAGACTCAATTTGGTTACAGTGAGTCCTTCTATAGCTGTGTAGGAGCTAAGTATCAAAACCCTGATTTTGAAAATTAGAATTTGTGACAAAACATGACTTGAAATGACTTTCAGAAAAGAAAAAATGTTTGGCAATTGGGAAGAAGTTCTCCCCAAAAGACCTAATTTGGAACAGTGGGGTTTTGAGGAGATTCTAAAATTTTTGTTGAATTTTTAGATGAAACATTAGCGTTTCTTAGTAGATTAAATTAAATTTCATCAAAATCCTGACTTGATAGCGTAGGGTTTTCATCAAAATTACATTCAAATCCTGATAAATAAGTGCTATAGTAAACGTGGCTGAATTCTAAAAAGTTATTTTGGGCTTCTTGCTAAATTCCAAATGATTTGGTCAAAACTGAGAGAATTCTGGAAGTTTTAGGCGTCCTATTGCCTTGCTGTGATTTGTAGAACTCAGGGAATTTTTGTAAATATCTCCAATAATTTGGAATTTTAAAAATATACCCCATATGTCATATTTTATGCTCATGTCCCGTTTTTTGATAGTATGTCTTATTTTATTTGTTTTTTTACATCATATTAAGCTCGAATGTTTAGTTTTCATACTTTTCCATCGTGTATTTGTAAAAAGTAAAAAAAGATTAATTTAAAAGAAACAAAATGGCAAAATGCCCATCAAATTTATGGGATTATTTTGGTTATTTTATTTTATTGAGTTAACTTTTTACATTTTTTATCAAGTTACGTGATAGTGAGAAGTTTGGACACCGAAACTTGAGCTCAATCTGTTGTACAAAAAAATAGTAGAACTAAAATACAAGATACACTCTCAAAAAGTAGCACAAGTGTAAGATATTTCTTCAAAGAAATCTATACAAGAAAACTATTTACTTTCGGTATAAGAGGCCACAATGATCATTGACCGTTAGATGTGAAATCTTATGGTTAGGGATGTGCCGCCTTGCCCTCTGTAGCTGTTAAAGAGTGGGCTTCGCTCTTTGTTTAAGAGCTAAAAATGAAAGGCAACTAGATTTCAGAATCTTTCATATTTTACATCCAATGGCTAAGAGTGATTCTGACCTCCTCGTACTCAAAGTGAATGGTATTATAGTATACATTCCCTTTCTTAAATATCGCAAAATATGGGGATACTTACAAAAATTTCCCTAGAATTTAAATAGTCCATGCACCACCGTTGTATGAATCTTACCATTGATTTTAGGAACATTTGGAGAAGTAATGGCTAATGGGAAATTTCATACACCACATGTGCATGATACATCTTGGACAAGGGGTCTGTCCATCATCCATTCAGGATAGTGAGGTCAGCGGAAGTCCTACATTCTTGTGTTTTGGGTAAATAAGTCCTACTTTCTTGTTGGTATGGTGAAATCTCCATTGCTCATTATTGCTAATGAGTGGTGGATACACCTGTGCTGTATCTTGTGCCATATACCAGTTATGTCTTATGTATGGTGAACTTCCTAGTAAGTGACTGACATGAATTCTTAAGCAGATTATTTGGATGTCAATACTGAATCTTGATCTAGAAATATCCTTTATAGCTCCTTTCTGTGAAACAATTCCCTTGCTTCCCATGTACCTGACATTGTTGCTTCTATAACTGAAAAAGATTTGCATAAGCCTAGGCCCTAAAATTTTTTAAGGCCAGACCTGTATCACACCAGAAACTACAGTTCTGGTGTTTGAAGATCCTCAGGTTGATAGTTTTGTTTTATTATGGACCTGAAAAAAAGAAAAGAAAAGAATTCCATGCTATAAAACGAGTGTATCTGTAACACAGTATTGGACGGGTCCACTTTGATGTGTTAAAAAATTCGTCAGATTTTCACCATTTTTGGAGTTTCAAATTTCATAATCAGGTGCGGAAATTGATTTTTAGAACATCATAGGGGTTTAGATACTGGAACTGCATTTTCCTAGAGGTTTTTTAGGTGGGCCTTTACTTCTTATATTATATATGAACTATATTGTACTTAAAGAAGACAACTTCTTGAGATTAATTAATGCTATTCTTTTTCAATGGTCAAAATTATTGCTGTTTCTCAAAAAGGGGGAATCATAAGAGGTAGAGTGTCCACTATTTACCTTACCTACTGCGAGAATTATAAGTGGTCAGTCTGATTGGAGTCAACTGACACATTTTACCTTACCTTCTGGGTCTCACTGAGATAGCAATTAATGGATTTCATGTTTAAAGTTGAAACCTCCACCTTAGTGGGATTTGAAATAGTTGGAATGTGTGGTCAAAGTTGAACGTTGGAACTCAAAAAGTGCGAAGATGATTGGATGAAATATGCAAACACATAACCTTGGCGGTCACTTTATATCTATGCTTGAAAACTTGAACTTAGTGACTGCTGGAACGTGTGCCATCTTGCTGACTCATACAGTAAACTTCAAAAGATTTCGGAGTTTTTCAAAGTTTTTATATTAAAAAAAAAGTTTTCCAAAGTTTTCTGAAAAATTTAAAATGGGGTCCGATCCCATCTTGTCTTGTCACTATGTTGAACCACTTTCCTAAACATCAGAAAATGCTGTTTACGTGTCAAAGTGATGCAGAAAATTTCATATAACTAAGAAACTCAGAGATGTACCTAGTTTCACATTTACAAAACCACCTACTGGACTAGTTGGTTGACAAACTCAGGCATATACCTAGCTTCACATTTACAAAACCGCCTACTGGACTAGTTGAGTTGACCTGTACCTTTAGGACTCAAGCTTAGACTTAAGTGGTTAGCAGTTCACTTTAGCGACTCGATCATCGCCAGTTCGATTCCTACCACTGAACTACACCAAATAAAAGAGAGAAAATGAGTTGACTTGGTGAGTTTTCCAACTCATAAATGAGTTTTATTCATTGTTGTATTTTCAAGCATCGTCACTTTACTGTTGGGTAAAGGAGGTTATGTATATTGCATTTATCCCTCCCTAACATGTTGGGATCATAATTGAAATCGGAAGCTCTATGTATTTTCCACATAATTCTAAAACTGAAGCAATATTTTCTCAAGTATGCCATTGTACTTGGTGTCTGATCATATTTTGGTTAAATTTCTTGAATTTGTAGGAGACAAAGTAACCTATCACGATTTTTACCTCCCATCAAAATACCTTTTGAGTTTCATCAATTAGGATATTGTCTTTCCTTGCCCTTGTGACTAGAATATTGATCCTCATCATAGTATTTTTGATACGTCTCAAATGTGGATTGATGTCTGTATGGTTGGGCTCTCAAGTAGAAGTTCTCTCAAGTTGTTTTATTATTTTTTATTTTTCCACTTCGAGATTTAGCTCTTGAATGCGGAAATGCTTTGTAGACTTGTAGTTAGATGTTGATTAATGTACACATGATGCAAAGCTACCCAGTTATCAATGTGGGGTCAGTTATGTTCATTTCTTTCATTAGTTCAATATAGATTTGTTTTCATGGTTTTATCTTTGGAATGTGAGTTTGTGAAATCAAATTTCACAATAGTGAAGGAAAAAAGAATTAAAATTGAGCCTCATCATTTTACCACTTGGAAAAAGAGAACATAAATACCATATTTTGAGATCTACTCTGAAAAACTTTATGATCTCCTTGAAGTCCTTTTATTCTATTTGAATATATGTTGGGTTGTGTTCAAATTTGGCTGATGTTGTTTCTCCAGACTTGCAGTATTATGCAAAGATGGGATTGCGTACATGTTTGGTTATACATTCTCAAGACCCTACTGCCGAGTCTTTGTTAGGATGTAAAATCGAAAGTACTCCTATTGCATGTAATGAGAACCTATCAGCTGTGAGATTGGAAACAACAAAGGTAATACTATTTCCTTTCCTTTCTTTCATGTTGGGTTTTTGTGATGTTATGGACCATTTGTTGTGTATATCATTTGGCATTTATCCACCCCGCACGCTGCCGATTTGAAATTAATTAGATTTAACCTATATACTTTTTCAGATGCTTCTTGAGCCTCTTAAACGACTAAAGAAAGCGGATGCCCGTCTTAATTTTACACAAGGAGTTCTTGATGGGGTGGGTGTCTCTTATTTTGGGATATCTAAATCTCAGTTGGTTTGCAGTGGTCTTTGTTTACGCATCTTATCATATAATAGGTGGTGGGAGAAGAGCTTGGTGTATTACCTGGCATGGATTCTATTTTCTCTATGGGAGCTTTAGAGAGATTGGGACGTTTTCTTGGAGGATATATCCCCAGACCAGCAGGCAAAACGGATAAATTTGATGTGATTGTTTATGATGGTATCAGCACTGAAGAGACACTGAGAATGATTGGTGCAGCTGAGAGAGCAAGGTAGCCCTTGCTTGTGTAACACTAGTTCACATGAGACTTGAGGTTTTTTCTTTTTACCTTTGCTACTTTGAAGGTTTTGGTTTTTGGGGAGACTAAGTGATGATTTAATGGACTGCGAAAAATCATACTCCATTGGGGCACCACCATCCATGGAAAGGATAATTGGTGGTTTTTTTGTGTGTGTGTGTGTGTGTGTGTGTGAGAGAGAGAGAGAGAGAGAGAGAGAGAGAGAGTAGTCGTTCGTTCGTTTGGTTCGGTCCGTACCTACCTTACTACTACTCGTCGTCGTACGTACTTACTTACTAGTACGACGAGGTCGTACTACGTAGTAGTAACGT